TGACGTTCACGGAGGAATCGTCTAATAGGCGGAGAAGTGGTGCGGCGTAATTATGGAAAATAACTCTAAACTTGTAGTGGAAGTCTCCTTGAGGTTCGTGTTCTTGACCACCAACAACCAAGCTGAGTATGAAATAGTAATTGTAAAGATAATAATAGCCAAAGAAATGGGGTATGAACAAATCGGGTTGAGAACGAACTCCCTTGTCTCTCAAATAAGAAGTGAGGCACATGCCAAAGACCCGTTATTGCAATAATACTTGAAACTAGCTACCAGAAAGCTGGCGAGATTTAAGGCATTCGAAATTGCTCATGTTCCGCAAGAAGGAAATACTCGCGCCAACTTATTATTCCTGTTGGACAATACAAGTAGCCTAGAGATTAATCATTCTTTCATCCAAGAAACTAGGAAAGCAACAAGCATCGAGTCCATGAGGAAGATAGTAACAATTGTTGATAGTATCTTCCCACCTTCCTGGATGACCCTAATTCAAAAGTATATTGAGATATGAAGCACTTCATCAAATCCGTCTGAGGTGACCCTGGTGAAGAAAATGGGATAATGAATATACGGTGATCGGAAGGACTTTGTATAAAAGAGACCTATCTACGCCCTTGCTGAAGTGCTTAGAAAAAGAGGAAGATGCACACATTCTTCTAGAAGTACATATAGGGATAGTTGTCTCCATCTTGAGGTAGGGAATTGACCAAGAAGATGTTGAGAGCATGATATTTCTGGACGACCATGGTTCAAGATGCCTAGGAATATGGGAAAAAGTGCGACCAATGTCAGTGACACGTGGATGTTTTCAATGCTCCATCTACAGAGTTGCATGTTCTCATATCACCATGATCGTTCCTACAATGAGGGCTAGACATCCTCAGTCCATTCACCCTTGCGCCACGAGAACTCCAAAAGCAATTTTCTACAATTTATTTAACCCTTTATTGATGCATGTAATCGGTTACACTCCCGTGTTAACTGATTACACCAACTTAAATTATCAAAATCTCTTAATCAGTAGAGACTAAAATATATATTTGAAGTAGGGATAATAAAATTCAAACTGATCCAAATAAAAAATCACAAATTGATTTAAAAAATTAAAACCCGTAAAAATATGAATAATATTAAATGTTTTTCAATGACATTTTGTAAAAATCGTTTGGTTAGAAACAAGGGTGTGGTATTTTGATTCTGGGTTTGAGAATGTATAAGTGTTTGATGATTTTCACACAATCAAAGTTTCTCCATCTATAAAACCCTCTGGATGTGTTGTCCAGCCCCTTTTAGATGTTGTGGAACATCTTATTTATAGATGAAGTTGGTTGAGATTTGAGAGGGAAAACAAAAGAATTTGAACAAATTGAGTATACTGTTTTTGTAGCTTTCGAGGGGCAGTATTTGTATGCCAAATTGGTGCAAATATAGGAGCGATGTAGCAGGACTGTTGTGCAGCAGTTTTGGAGTGTTGTGGCCAGTGCATCAGGCTTGGACTTGCAGCGCATTGGACTTTGGTCAGCAATCCTTCGATTAGACTCATCAAGAGACCAAACATTAATTGTGTTCTTCGAATGGACCTTTTGCATGTTCCTTCGAATGCAACAAATTTATGTTCTTTGGATGGGCCACCAAATATGTCCTTCGAATGGGCCACCAAATTTGTCCTTTGAATGGGACATCCATGTATGTCTTGCATGCCCTTTGAATGGGCCACCAAACATGTCCTTCGAATGGGACATCCAGGTATGTCTTGCATGCCCTTCGAATGGGCCACCATAGTGAAGAAACTATGCGTGTCGAAACAAACTTTCCAAGGGAGATACTGCCCAATCGAAGCAGGAATCAAGCTTGCTCAAAAGAAATCAAATGCCCAATCGAAGCAGGAATCAAGCTTGCTCAAAAGAAATCAAATGCCCAATCGAAGCAGGAATCAAGCTTGCTCAAAAGAAATCAAATGCCCAATCAAAGCAGGAATCAAGCTTGCATGCAGGTAGTCATCAAGACAAACCTGCAAAGGCCCTTGCTCAATCGAAGTAGGCATGCAGGTAACCATTGCATTGTGAATCAAGCAAACATGTAAGGCCAATGGTGCAATCGAAGCTTGCATGCAGGAGGTCCCTACTCACCCAAACGAGGCTTGTATAAAGATAGGTGTTGCCCTTTTGAAACAAAAGCAAGTTGTTTCAAAGGGAGACTTTCCCCAGTCAGAGCTAGCATGAAGATAGCCAATTCCCTGTGGGTGCTAATATGAATGCTAGCCATAGGGAAGCTTTTGCCTTGTGTACGCTAGCATGGTGGGAGCCCCTCATTTTGTGAATCGAAGCATGCAGGAAAGAGGTAATTGTTCAATCGAAGGCTGCATGCGGATAGCCATTGCTTTATGAATCAAAGCAAGCATGTCAGGGGCCAATGCTCAATTGAAGGATGTAAGCCAAGCTTGTATCGAAATAGGCCAAAAGCCCAATCGAAGGATGTGAAATTGAAGCAGACATGCTCTTCGTCGATTTGATGCTTGAAAGCCCAATTGTACTTTGTGCAAATTTGAACTTTTGAAAATCCTTGTGAGGAAATGTCTTGAGAAATGAGAGGGAAAATTTTGGGGTACAACAATAGGGAAATTACATTGTACTTCGAAATATACATATGTTTTATTTTTTGGCATTTTCTTCGTCAAATTTGTATTGATTGGTTAGACATAAACTTGTATTGTTTGTTGAATCGTTTTTGGTACCTCCATAGCTAGATCACACGTACGTGACGTTCACAGAGGAATCGTCTAATAGGCGGAGAAGTGGTGCAGCGTAATTCTGGAAAATAAATCTAAACTTGTAGTGGAAGTCTCCTTGAGGTTCGTGTTCTTGACCACCAACAACCAAGCTGAGTATGAAATAGTAATTATAGAGATAATAATAGCCAAAGAAATGGGGTATGAATAAATCGGGTTGAGAACGAACTCCCTTGTCTCTCAAATAAGAAGTGAGGCACATGCCAAAGACCCGTCATTGCAATAATACTTCAAACTAGCTACCAGAAAGCTGGCGAGATTTAAGGCATTCGAAATTTCTCATGTTCCGCAAGAAGTAAATACTCGCGCCAACTTATTATTCCTGTTGGACAACACAAGTAGCCTAGAGATTAATCATTCTTTCCTCCAAGAAACTAGGAAAGCAACAAGCATCGAGTCCATGAGGAAGATAGTAACAACTGTGGATAGTATCTTCCCACCTTCCTGAATGACCCTAATTCAAAAGTATATTGAGATAGGAAGCACTTCATCAAATCCGTCTGAGGTGACCCTGGTGAAGAAAATGGGATAACGAATATACAGTGATCGGAAGGACTTTGTATAAAAGAGACCTATCTACGCCCTTGCTGAAGTGCTTAGAAAAAGAGGAAGATGCGCACATTCTTCTAGAAGTACATATAGGGATAGTTGTCACCATCTTGAGGTAGGACATTGACCAAGAAGATGCTGAGAGCATGATATTTCTGGCCGACCATGGTTCAAGATGCCTAGGAATATGGGAAAAGTGCGATCAATGTCAGTGACACGTGGATGTTTTCAATGCTCCATCTACAGAGTTGCATGTTCTCATATCACCATGATCGTTCCTACAATGAGGGCTAGACATCCTCAGTCCATTCACCCTTGCGCCACGAGAACTCCAAAAGCAATTTTCTACAATTTATTTAACCCTTTTTTGATGCATGTAATCGGTTACACTCCCGTGTTAACTGATTACACCAACTTAAATTATCAAAATCTCTTAATCAGTAGAGACTAAAATATATATTTGAAGTAGGGATAATAAAATTCAAACTGATCCAAATAAAAATCACAAATTGATTTAAAAAATTAAAACCCGTAAAAATATGAATAATATTAGATGTGTTTCAATGACATTTTGTAAAAATCGTTTGGTTATAATTAGATTTCAGTTTGATTTTTCAAAATCGATCAGAGCCATGATATATATATATATATATATATATATATATATATATATATATATATATATATATATATATATATATATATATATATATATATATATATATATATTTTAATTAATATGATACGTAGTATTAATTTATTATTTGATGATATTTATTTTTTAATTCTATTTATTTAAATATTATTTTTATTGTTTTATTTATTTTAATTATTATATTTTAATTTCAAAATAAACTTCCCTAATTTTGTAGTAGTTAGTTAGTTTACTTGAACATTTATAAAAGATGAAAGTTTATTTCGTGATAAAATGAAACGTTTTTTTGTTTGTTTTGGAATAGAAGTCAAAGATGAAGTTGAAATGTAAGGTTAGGTTAATCTTAGAATTTTAAATTGGTAAAGAGTTTAGTGTTGAACTCTGGGTCATTGTAATATATAACAGACCTCTCTTGAATTTAATATGTTTATCATGTGTACCAAACATGAAGTGATGATGGTATTGAGAAGAAAAGCGCAGGCTAAAACAAACGAAAGTAGGCATTAGGCGGCACCAAAACTACGTCCTTTCTCTCTCATTTTACCTAGTCCAACATAGCGACATGCGTACGTACTAGAATAAAATTACCATCATTGAAACAGTCTTGCTTTCTTTCTATTACTATTTCCCTCGAGTCATTCCTCCTCGTGCTTCTTGCCACGAAATTTCCATAACCACATGTTTCCTCCCAACGTTTCAATTCAATTCTGTTTCTTGTTTCTGTTTACTTTTGTTAATTAATATGATTCCAATTCCAATATTCAACTACGTTTTTCTCATCCCCTTTTAGTCAAACTCATGTGATTAATTTTCCTTATTGAAGTATATTCCTCGTGTTCAATTCTTAACTGAATTTTCCATACTCTCTTCTACACATTATTTTAACAGGTACACTCTAAATCGATCTTAACTAACCAACTCTTTCCACGCTTTTGTGCATGTCAATGTGTTAGTTATTCTTTTCATTTCAGTTGAATTTGTGCAGGTTTTTTTGATCTCTCGACGATTATGGGATCGGTTTGTTCGTCTGGTAAAGTAGAGAAAAATAAAAATGGTGAGAGTAAAGTTTCTGGTGTGCAGAATCTTAACAGGTTAAAGAGCTTTGTGAACAGAAAGGGAAATTGTTATTCAAATTCAAGGAAACCAAACTCTGGATTTTCTACTGAATTTAAACTAGTTGATGATACAAATCTCAAATTAACAACGAGAAAACAGGTAATTCCTTCCTCTAATAATCGATTTTACTATTACTTTATTTGTTAATGTTAATTAGTACTATGACTTTATTAGGTAAATAGTGGATTTATATAAATTTATAGCATATGATTGGAATTCACAAGTTTCTGTATAAGTAATTTGTTTGGTGCAAGTCACATATCTCGACTATGAAAATTTTTAAATGGACTTTCACACATTTTGATGTATCAAGTCTTTGTTTTATAGGTATCCCAAAGAGGGTCCTTTCTAGGAAGAGCTAGTGAGAAGGCAGTGGAAGTTTTGGACACACTAGGGAGTAGTTTGCCCAAGTTAAGTACCAGTGATGGTTTTATCACTGGCATGGTTCCTAAAAGGAATAAAATTTCAATGTTGGCATTTGAAGTAGCTAATACAATAACAAGAGGATCAATTTTGCTTCATTCATTATCGGAGGAAAATATTCAGTTACTTAAAAATGAGATTTTGCAATCAGAAGGGGTGCAGAAGTTAGTTTCTATTGATACAAAGGAGTTAATCAGTTTCGTCGAGGCTGATAAAAGGTTCTTACTTGTTCATAAGCTTCGATTTCAAAATCGTATGAATGTATTATATTTTGCTTTCTCTTATGTTCGTTAGCTTTGAACTTTGGGTTAATTTGCAGGGAAGAATTCAAAGTTTTCTCCCGGGAAGTAGTTAGATTTGGAAATACATGTAAGGACCCTCAATGGCATAACCTCGATCGATATTTCTTGCGGTGAGTTTGTTTGATTTTACCTTCAAATTTAGGACAAGATTATATCATAAATCATTTTGAAACAAATATTTTGGGATTATAATTTTATATTGCAAACAATTTCAGATCATATTTGAATGCCTTGAGCAACAAACAACCTAGGGTAGAGGCAGAAAAGACTATGCAAGACTTGTCCTCTCTAGCTCAAAATACTGCTGTAAGCAAATAGTAATTTTAAATTAAGTTTTGCTTCTGTGGTTTATCAAATTGGTTAACTGATTCTAAGGAAAGAGCAAAAACATTATTTTGATATTTGGTTATCTTGCATTGTATGTATGCTGTTGGTATTGTTTCTTATACAATACCTTAAAGTTTATGAATATTCATTTTGTAGCATACCGACAAAGTCTAATCATATTCGGATTGTGTTTAGGCTATTATCAATGTTTTCTACTTCTGATGGAGTTGAATTTCTGCTTTGTACTATGACTTTTTTAGTTCCTTCTTTAAATAAGTAATGCTATTTTCTGTGTGTAGGAATTGTACCATGAGTTAAATGCATTGGACCGTTTTCAACAAGATTATAACCAAAAGGTTAAGGAGTTGGAGTCCTTAAATCTTCCTCTCAACGGTTAGAAACTTCATAAACTAGTTTCCCCTCAAAAGTTGCCACTCTCAATATCAATTTTTTTTAGAATGTGCCGAGATTATTTTGACTCTTGTAATCTATATCATTATTTCTAGAAAACCGTTGACTAAAATGTTTGTATTGTAATTTGTATCTACACATTCATAAGTCAGTTTCTTTGTTATTGTAGGGGAAGGTCTCACAGCTTTTCATAGCGAGCTTAAGCATCAAAGAAAGCTTGTGAAGAGCTTGCGAAGGAAATCCCTTTGGTCCAAAAATTTGGAGGAGGTATATAAAGAAATAGTTCCTCATTTGAATCTATTCTTTGTTGAGTAACTGTTCAGTTTCAGCACACTTTACAATAATGGACTTATTCTTTGCATGTACCTGCTATAGGTAGTCGAAAAGCTTGTTGATATAGCTACACATATACATCAAGCGATTTTCGAGTTCCTTGGGAAAAATGGTATGGAAACATATCAAACATGAATTTGAAACCAATTGTTACTTGTCTGATATATATGCATAATTTTTTTATTAACTCGCGGATTCTTATAGCAGGTACAATTGCAGTAAAAAATCGTAACGGAGCTCAAAGACTAGGCGAAGCTGGTCTTGCACTTCACTATGCAAACATTATCAATCAGATAAATGTGATAGTAAGTCTAGTTTGTATACTAATATGCTAATCAACATAATAGAGACCAAGGTTTTAAATAGCAATCGCGGTCACGTGAGATAGAAAATTGCAATAAAATGCAGCCTTTGGAGATAGTTCATTTATTTATTTGGTTTCTTTATCTACATAAAATGATGGTTTTTAACTTTATATCAGGCATCACGACCAACCATTCTTCCTCCAAATATGAGGGACACATTGTATAAAGGTTTGCCCAAAAATATTAAGAACGCTCTTCCTTCCAGGTTGCAAAACGACGACGTTACAAGAGAGGTATATACGACTTTTCTAGTACCTTTTACCTTCTGCCTGAAGATTAGAGTTTAATTTCTTGTTTGGAATATGCTAATTGGAAACTTTGTGTAGCTCTCCATTGCTCAAGTCAAAGCTGAAATGGATAAGATTCTCCTGTGGCTTACTCCATTTGCCACAAATACGACCAAGTAAGATGATACTATTATTCTTTGCACATGGTATCTCAGTTGCCTTGTTTTGTTATTTGAATTGAAAATTAGTAATTTGACTTTCTCTAGAAACAAAAGTGTCACTTTAAAAGATGAAGTGACTAATTATAGTCACTCATTGACAAATCAATATTTGAAATTTATATAACTTTGCTATACATCTAAGTGTATAAATCATATTTTCACAGGTTTATTTTTGTAACTAGTGATCATATAAAAATTTCAATTACACACATGTCCCTTTATTTTCTTAAAATATACAAGATGTATGATGCATCTGTAATTTAAACAGACATGTAATAAGAGTAACTTTCACACCAAGTAACCGTAATGAGTCTTTGTTTGAAAAATCAATATCTTCTAAATGGCTTATTCTGTTTTTCTTATCTGTATATGTTGCAGAGCACACCAAGGTTTTGGATGGGTTGGCGAATGGGCAAATACAAGGTAGATTGGTTAGTTGTGCATGAGTTTGATGAAATTATAGTAGAGCAATGTGACTTCCTTGAAACTTTAAAATGTAGTTTTTCTCAGACTTACAGTGATACATGATGGTTCATCGTCAATTCAAACATGCACTAGTTTTAGTTGCTTTATAGGACAATTAGACTTGAAATTTAGTTTGTGATTATTAACTTTTGATGTGGGTTTTGCAGTAACGAGTTTGTAGAAAAAACAGCAGGCAAAGAAACCAACCTTATTCGGCTTCACACACTCCATTACGCCGACAAACAGAAGATAGATTTCCACATCCTGGAACTATTGGTTCTGCTTCACCAGTTAGTTACTTTTGCAGGATACAGACACAGTGCCACAAGACCAATGTCTAGTACAAGAACATCTTCTCCCAACAAAGGACTTCATTTTCAGTCAAAGATGTTGCAATTCATTTCACTGACTCAGTTGTCTGAAGAGGAAAGAAGATTGTTGGAAGAGGTAACTACGAGGAGATGGATTCCAGGAATTAGCAAAAGTGAGAATCTTGAGGGGACTAAGAAAAAAGAAGCTATGGTTTGGCATTTTAGCAACAGTGTTGGTAATTCACCAGCTAAGTGGCTCTTTGCTACCAAGTTGGACTTGGATGTTATGGATGGCCTATAAGATGTGCTTGGAATTTCAATTTTAAAAAGTTTTTCAATCATATATAACACTTTTTTGGTATAGGAACACTTACTTTTATTTGATATTTTTGATGGATAGTTGTAAATGGAATATATGTGCTTATTTTTATGTTGATTGATACCATGGTATATAAACTCCATCCATGTTCATTAAGATATCTAAGATTAGTTAATACCAATACACCTCATGTATGTTTAAGCGTTACCAATACACCGTGATGTAATCTTTTAAATAGGTAACTAACCCTTACCAATAAACATCATGTATGTTTTGTTATGTTATTATTAATATTGTTATTAATTGTTATTTGCTATATGTAACTGACTTAGTCTCTATTGATCGTGAGAGGATCATGGTTGTTAGTTTTAATTAAGCCTAAATTGTAGGGAGTCAAGTATGACTTAGTGGCCCTGATTCTTAGGAAGCATTCAATTCAGTTTTCCTTTTTTTGTAAGCTATTTATATAGCAGTATTTCATTCTAATATATTATCAGTTATCAGATTTGCTAACATCTGGTATCAGAGCGAGAAAGACCTCAAAAGTGTGAGGGATCCAAAAGTGTGAGAGTACCACAAAATAGAGTGTTTGGGGTATGGGATTCGAAGAGAAGAATGGTGGATTTTCTGTACCCTCCATTCCCAGATTCGATGGAGATTACGATCATTGGAAGATGGTCATGGAAAATCTCTTGAGATCCAGAGAATATTGGCCCGTGGTGGAGAACGGTTACATGTTGCCCAAAGAAGGAGAAGTGCAGACAGATACGCAAAGGAAGACCCTGGATGATTTGAAACTTAAGGATTTGAAGGCGAAGAATTATTTGTTCCAATCCTTGGACAAATCAATTCTGAGAACCATCACCAAGAAGGACACTTCCAAGCAGTTGTGGGACTCCATGAAGATGAAGTACCAAGGAAATGATCGGGTTCGACGTGCTCAGCTCAATCGACTCCGACGAGAATTCGAGGTGTTGGCTATGAAACAAGGGGAGTCAGTCAATGACTACTTTGGAAGGGTGATGACCATAGCCAATGACATGCGAAATTGCGGTGAAGACATGACAGATGTCAAAATCGTAGAGAAAATTTTGCGAACACTGACGGAGAAATGGAATTACATTGTGTGTTCCATTGAGGAAGCTAATGATGTTGATGAGCTCACAGCTGATGCCTTGCAAAGTTCCCTCTTGGTCCATGAACAAAAGTTCAAGAGGGAACCAGATGAAGAACAAGCACTGGCGATTTCTTATGGTAACACCGGTGGTCGAGGACGAGGGAGAAACAGCTTTAGAGGAGGAAGAGGTCATGGACGAGGCCGTCAAAGCTACAATAAAGCAACAATTGAATGTTACAAATGCCACCGATTAGGGCATTTTCAATATGAATGCCCTAATCTCGAGAAGACGGTTAATTATGCTGAGATGAGCAAGGATGAAGAGATGCTTCTTATGGCTTATATTGAAGCATCAGGGGAAAAAGGAGAGACTGCATGGTTCTTAGACAGCGGGTGCAGCAACCACATGAGCGGAGACATCTCTCTCTTTTGTACCATGGAGGAAGGGTTCAAAAGAGAAGTCAGTCTAGGGAACCATATGAGGATGAAGGTTGTGGGCAAAGGGAGTGTTAGGTTAAATCTTGGCGGTGTTTGTTATGTTGTTCAAGAAGTGTTCTATATTCCAGAATTGAAGAACAATTTACTAAGTATCGGACAATTGCAGGAGAAAGGCTTGGCCTTTCTAATCAAGAACAATGAGTGCAGAATCTATCATCCATTAAAGGGCCTTATCCTTGAAAGCAGAATGACACTCAACAGAATGTTCATATTGCTCTCGAAGACCTCCTCGGCTACCAATGAGTCAGGTGAATGCTGCTTCCAAACTGACATCCAAGAAATTGCTCATCTATGGCACTGCAGGTATGGCCACCTTAGCTATACTGGACTTCAAACTTTGACAAGCAACAACATGGTTAAAGGCTTTCCAAATCTTGGAGAAATCATTGCTGCTAGAGAAACTACTGCTGTATGCACTGAGTGTTTGAAAGGAAAACAACACAGGGAGATCATACCAAGAAAATCCATGTGGAGAGCTGAAGCCCGATTGGAGCTTATACATGCCGACATATGTGGTCCCATCTCGCCAATGTCACATGGTCAAAAAAGGTACTTCATCTGTTTCATTGACGACTTTAGTAGGAAGGCTTGGGTGTATTTTATTGCTTATAAGAGTGATGCATTTTCTACATTCAAGCAATTTAAAAGTCGGGTAGAAAGGTAGTCCGGTTTATTTGTGAAATGCTTGAGAACTGATCGTGGAGGCGAGTTTATCTCACACGAGTTTACTGATTATTGTAGACAAGAAGGGATAAAAAGACAGCTCACCACAGCCTACACGCCACAACAAAACGGAGTTGCCGAAAGGAAAAACCGAACTGTCATGAACATGGCCTGAAGTTTACTTGCCGAGAAGGAAGTGCCTAAGATTTTCTGGCCTGAAGCGGTTAATTGGGCATTCCATGTGCTTAACAGGAGCCCTACCTCTGCCGTAAAAGGAATGACTCCTGAAGAGGCCTGGTCTAGAGTGAAGCCCACAGTCGAGCACTTCAGAGTTTTTGGTTGCATTGCTCATGTCCACATTCCAGATGCTCGAAGAGTCAAGCTTGATGACAAGAGCACTAAATGTGTTTTATTTGGAGTAAGTACTGAGTCGAAAGGATATAGGTTATATGATCCAATTAAAAGAAAGATCATTGTTAGCAGGGATGTCGTGTTCGAAGAAAATAAGAAATGGGATTGGAATACAAGTCACTCAGAATTTAACAAAGATCAGCTTGATTGTGGAGATATGGATACTACTATTGTTGACCAAGAGAGTGATACAGTGACACCACAAGATCAATCAGAGCATGAAGAAGCCATCGAGTACAGTGGAGATACAAGTCACTCAACAGCTGAGAATGAGGAGCTTGAGAATGCAGCTGGGACTGAGATTGCTACTGAGGATGATAATGTAGTAGCTACAACAGAAAAATCTGCAGCAGTGGGCCAACGTAGCAGAAGAGCTCCAAGGTGGATGGAGGATTATGTGGTGAACTCTGTTGTTTCAAACTCTGATGTGGCAGCATGTATTAACCCCCAATCCTTTGAGGAAGCTGTGCTAAATACCAATTGGAAGAAAGCCATGGATGCTGAAATTCAGTCCATTGAAAAGAATGGAACCTGGACTCTAGTTGAATTACCAAAGGGAGTCGCAAGCATAGGGGTTAAATGGGTGTATAAAACAAAATTGAATCAACATGGTGAGATTGACAAGTATAAGGCTCGCTTAGTAGCAAAGGGATATGCGCAACAACACGGAATTGATTATGAAAAAGTATACGCGCCAGTGGCAAGGCTAGACACTGTGCATATGATCTTGGCTCTTGTTACGCAACGAAGTTGGGTTGTGTATCAGCTCGACGTGAAGTCCGCATTCTTACAAGGTGAACTTACAGAGGAGGTGTATGTTGATCAACCAAAAGGATATGAAGTGAAGCATGAGACGACTAAGGTATACAAGCTCCAGAAAGCTTTATACGGCCTTAAACAAGCACCGAGAGCTTGGTTTAGCAGAATTGAAGCATACTTCAGAAACATGGGCTTTGATAAAGAAGCAAGCGAACAAACCTTGTTCACCAAGATCAATCAACAAGGGAAGCATTTGATCGTTAGCCTATATGTTGATGATTTGATTTATATTGGGAATGATGAAGCTATGTTGAAAGAATTCAAACAATCAATGATGGAGGAATTTGAAATGACTGATCTGGGAAGAATGCACTTCTTCCTTGGCTTAGAGGTTATGCAGATTGACAGTGGAATCTTCATCTCTCAAAAGAGATATGCCAAAGAGGTCTTGAAGAAGTTTGGAATGGATAAAAGCAACTTGGTCCTAAATCCTATTGTTCCTGGGGTTAAAATTGATAAAGATGATACAGGCGTGACAGTAAACAGCTCCATGTTCAAGCAACTTGTTGGTAGCTTGATATACTTAACCACTACCAGGCCGGATCTGATGTATGCAGTTAGTGTAGTCAGTAGATATATGGCCAAGCCAACTGAGATGCATCTTATGGCAGCAAAGAGAATACTGAGGTATGTGCAGGGAACTATGTGTTTTGGGATTTTCTATCAAAGATCAGGCAATCAGGAGCTTGTGGGATACACAGACAGCGACTATGCCGGATGTATCGATGACAGGAAAAGCACCTCGGGCTATGCCTTTATACTTAGCAATGCAGCGGTGGCATGGTCATCAAGGAAACAACCTATAGTCACACTCAGCACCACCGAAGCAGAATTCGTAGCTGCGTCAGCTTGTGCCTGCCAACTGATTTGGATGAAGAGGGTGCTGTCCAAGTTGGACTACAATGGAAGCAAAAGTCCAGTGATTTTTTGTGATAACAGTTCTACCATCAAGCTCTCAAAGAACCCGGTTATGCATGGTAAGAGCAAACATATTGATGTGCGCTTTCACTTCCTCCGTGATTTAGTAAATGAAGGAAAGGTCCAATTGAATTATTGCGGCACCAAACAGCAGATAGCTGATATCTTTACTAAGCCGCTCAAGCTTGAAGTCTTTCAAGAGCTCAGGAAGAAGCTTGGCGTATGTGACATCTCAGAGATAAACTAGACAGTCTAGTTTAGGGGGAGAATTGTTATGTTATTATTAATATTGTTATTAATTGTTATTTGCTATATGTAACTGACTTAGTCTCTATTGATCGTGAGAGGATCATGGTTGTTAGTTTTAATTAAGCCTAAATTGTAGGGAGTCAAGTATGACTTAGTGGCCCTGATTCTTAGGAAACATTCAATTCAGTTTTTCTTTTTTTGTAAGCTATTTATATAGCAGTATTTCATTCTAATATATTACCGGTTACCAGATTTGCTAACATGTTTAAGCATTATAAACTCTTACAAAATTTAGAAAAAAATCGAC